CAGTGGCTGCGAGTCTGCTGCTCTATTGGCAGCTTTGGTGCGAGTTGCTGCTCGTTTGGCAGCTGGTGCGGTTGCTGCTCGGGATTGGCAGCTGGCTGCGAGTCGCTGCATTTTGGGGAGCTGGTGCGGTTGCTGCATCGGTATTGGGAGCTGGCTGCGGTCTGTGCATCGGTATTGGCAGTGGGTGCGGTCTGCTGCATCGGTATTGGGGTGGCTCGAGTCTGCTGCTCGGTTTGGCAGTGGCTGCGAGGGGCTGCTGCATCGGTATTGGCAGTGGCCGCGGTCTGCTGCATCGGTATTGGCAGCTGGCTGCAGTCTGCTGCATCGTTTTGGCAGTGGCTGCGAGTCTGCTGCATCGTATTTGGAAACTGGCTGCGAGTCTGTGCATCGTTGGCAGGGCTGGAGTCTGCTGCTCGTATTGGCAGTGGCTGCGAGTCTGCTGCTCGTATTGGCGTGGCTGCAGCTGCTGATCAGTATTTGGGAGCTGGCTGCGAAGTCGCTGATCGTATTGGCAGGGGTGGAGTCTGCTGATCAGTATTGGCAGCTGGCTGCGAGTCTGCTGCATCAGTATTGGCAGCTGGCTGCGAGTCTGCTGCGTCAGTATTGGCAGCTGGCTGCGAGTCTGCTGCGTCAGTATTGGCAGCTGGCTGCGAGTCTGCTGCGTCAGTATTGGCAGCTGGCTGCGAGTCTGCTGCGTCAGTATTGGCAGCTGGCTGCGGAGTCTGCTGCCGATCAGTCATTGGCAGCTGGCTGCGAGTCTGCTGCATCAGTATTGGCAGCTGGCTGCGAGTCTGCTGCGTCAGTATTGGCAGCTGGCTGCGAGTCTGCTGCGTCAGTATTGGCAGCTGGCTGCGAGTCTGCTGCATCAGCATTGGCAGCTGGCTGCGAGTCTGCTGCATCAGTATTGGCAGCTGGCTGCGAGTCTGCTGCATCAGTATTGGCAGCTGGCTGCGAGTCTGCTGCATCAGTATTGGCAGCTGGCTGCGAGTCTGCTGCATCAGTATTGGCAGCTGGCTGCGAGTCTGCTGCATCAGATTGGCAGATGGCTGCGAGTCTGCTGCATCGAGTATTGGCAGCTGGCTGCGAGTCTGCTGCATCAGTATTGGCAGCTGGCTGCGAGTCTGCTGCATCAGTATTGGCAGCTGGCTGCGAGTCTGCTGCATCAGTATTGGCAGCTGGCTGCGAGTCTGCTGCATCAGTATTGGCAGCTGGCTGCGAGTCTGCTGCTCAGTATTGGCAGCTGGCTGCGAGTCTGCTGCATCAGTATTGGCAGCTGGCTGCGAGTCTGCTGCATCAGTATTGGCAGCTGGCTGCGAGTCTGCTGCATCAGTATTGGCAGCTGGCTGCGAGTCCGCTGCGTCGGTGGTGGCAGGAGGCTGCGAGTCCGCTGCGTCGGTGGTGGCAGGAGGCTGCGAGTCCGCTGCGTCGGTGGTGGCAGGAGGCTGCGATTCCGCTGCGTCAGGTGTGGCAGGTGGCTGCGAGTCGCTGCGTCGTGGTGGCAGGGCTGCGGTTCCGCTGCGTCAGTGGTGGCAGGAGCTGGCTGCGAGTCCTGCTGCGTCAGTGGTGGCAGGGGCTGCGAGTCCTGCTGCGTCAGTGGTGGCAGGATGGCTGCGAGTCTGCTGCGTCAGTGTGTGGCAGTGGGCTGCGAGTCTGCTGCGTCAGTTGGTGGCAGGATGGCTGCGAGTCTGCTGCGTCAGTGGTGGCAGGAGGCTGCGAGTCCGCTGCGTCAGTGGTGGCAGGAGGCTGCGAGTCCGCTGCGTCAGTGGTGGCAGGAGGCTGCGAGTCTGCTGCGTCAGTGGTGGCAGGAGGTTGCGAGTGTGCTGCGTCAGTGGTGGCAGGAGGCTGCGAGTCTGCTGCGTCAGTGGTGGCAGGAGGCTGCGAGTCTGCTGCGTCAGTGGTGGCAGGAGGCTGCGAGTCTGCTGCGTCAGTGGTGGCAGGAGGCTGCGAGTCTGCTGCGTCAGTGGTGGCAGGAGGCTGCGAGTCTGCTGCGTCAGTGGTGGCAGGAGGTTGCGAGTCTGCTGCGTCAGTGGTGGCAGGAGTCTGCGAGTCTGCTGCGGTTTTGAAACTGGACAAAGTCACTGAGTGCCATGAGTAGACAGAGGAATGACGCACAATAATGCTAATAAATAAATAACTGAGCATCCGGAGTCTGTTGCCTCACTGGGAGAGTAAACAACTTGCACTGCGAATTGTCTTTAATTTTTTTCTCTCTGACTTGCACATTCTCTTCTCTCAGAAACCATTAATTTAATATTGGAAGTAGAAACTAGTGTTGACTCGTGGAACATGACCTTGTTTACGTTAACTCACGTGATTGTAGCCCAGTCACGTGAATGTATCAAGCCATTATCAAAAAATCACTTTATTGATTGCTGCAGTAATATGTTTCGTCTTAGTGTCTAGTACAGGAAGTTTTTTTGGATTTTGTTAATAAATCCTTTGAGCCACTGTTCTGAAGCATTGAAAACAGTAATATTTGGAGGTTGTTATATCCTGCCTGTAATAATGTTCACAATGTTTTCTGGGTGAGATTCTGGATCCATTGTATTTGTTTGGAGTTTGTGTCGAGTACCTCCTCTGTCTCTGGTATTTACTGCTGCTTTGGGTTTCATTTCTTCTTTGTGGTTATCTTACCTGAACTCCTGCTAATCACCAATGCTGCAAACATCTTCCTACAGTTGGGCGCACACATGCAAGTTTAGTGCTAATATCTTGAACATTTCTGGTCTCAAGGTGATTCCAGTGATCCATTTAAACCTGTAAGCGAACCGCATTAAAGTCTCTTCTATCCACATATCACTCCAAATTCTGTTCCTAAGTCAAGGAATATGGCGCATCACATGATCATCTTCTGGGAAATGTGTCAACCTCTTGATAGGCATTAATTCAATTGATCTCGTGCGGAACAAACCATAACGGCCATACTTTTCTTGACCTGCTGCATCACAGTAAGACAACACTTAGTGAGTAGCTTTAGTATGTAACAGCTAGTAGCCTTCTCTCTCTCTCTGAGCTCAGGTCAATCATCATTTAGAAAACTGGTTTAGTGAGACAATACAGAGCTTTGTTATCTTTTGAAGCTAAATCATTGAGGTATACATCAAACTATTGCTGCTTGTAGGTTCATACTCATAGGTCAAAAATATACTACCCATGATTACTTCTACAACCATGGAAATTATTATTATTATTATAATCAAGGGGAAGCGCTAAACCCGTAGGATTATGCAGCTACAACCATGGAAAGAGATCTGACATTTTGAGGAAATTTTTCTCACCGAACATCTCTGGTGATCTCTGCTAAGGATGGAAAAATACACACAAATGCAGTATAATGCGATAATTTATTGACTACGTTTCTCCCACATAGTGGGCTTTATCAAGCCACAAACAGATCTACCTGAGCAGAGAGTACGTAAGAATATATTGGGGGCATTATAAAGGAGCGCATTATACGACATTTGTGTCTACTTCTCCATGTCGGTATTTTATTCCATTTATCTCCACTGACCTCTATTAAACCATTAGTGAGTCAACACACCCACTGAAGTTCTTCAATAAATGTATTCCTCCAAGTCTCAATATAACATCAGATAATTTGTCACGTTACACTCACATTACCTGAAGAAGAGTTTGGTACAATTGGTGTCAACAAGTAGATACAGTCACCTCCTGTATTGCTATTTCAGTAAAACGCTGAGCCTGAGCAGTGAGGTCATTACTGTATCCAGGGTGTGAAGGGATCATGTCTATAAGCGGTTGATATGCTATACAAGTACACGATTTCAACTCGGCTTCATCTTCATAAATTGCTGGCGTGTGTTGTATCCAGGAAGTTCTGGGGTCCAAATCCCACCAGCAAATAAAAAGCTTTCGCACCTTCCGTACAAAATTAGAGATGGTAGCCAATGACATTTTGATACAGCATTATTCTAGACCTGTCTTAGTATTGTGTCAGTGTTCCTGCTCCTAAAAAAAACTTGGTCCCGACAGTAATAGTCTTAAAGAGCCATTATTTGAATATACATACCCTATTTTACTGATACACATAGCCTGTTTTACCAGTACAGCTGCTGTTCTACTTTCTCAAATATACTCGACTAAGCTGAAATTTTAAGGTTAGCTGACGTTTTTCTCAACTTTGCATGTGTGTGTACTCGCCTAATTGTGGTTGCAGGGGTCGATTCATAGCTCCTGGTCCCGCCTCTTCACTGGTCGCTACTAGGTCCACCCACTCCCTGCTCCATGAACCTCATCATACCTTTTCTTACAGCTAATGTATCCTGCCACCACTAGGTCACTTTCCCGACTATTCAACTTTCTGACAACTCTATAACTGAAGAAATACTTCTTAACATCCCTATGATTCATTTGAGTCTTCAGCTTGTTGCTTTGTACCATCTCTGGTGTGTGTGTGTGTGTGTGTGTGTACTCACCTAGTTGTACTCACCTAGTTGAGGTTGCGGGGGTCGAGTCCGAGCTCCTGGCCCCGCCTCTTCACTGTGTGTGTGTGTGTGTGTGTGTGTGCGCGCGCGCGTCTGATCATGTTATGATTGATAATTTTTTCCAGGTCATTTTCTGAAACTTTTTTTAGTTTTTATCATTGGTTTTATTGTTATTTTTTATCTGTGGCTTTATTGCTATTTTATTTGACTTTGTTGATTATCTTAAAATATTTTCATTATATGGTCAACTGTTGCCCAGGTTGTTGTGTAGGTCTAACGACCTACTTTTTCCAGTTACTAAGTAAGAGTGCCTCATACAGGAGTGATATTAATTTTCTTTAATTTCTTCAATTATGATATGCTGAAGCATATCACAAATATCTTAAGACTTGATTTGGGTCTCCATTCTTTTGGTCTATATTCTTTTGATCTATATTCTTTTGGTCTGTATTCTTTGGGTCTGTATTCTTTGGGTCTGTATTCCTTGGGTCAATATTCTTTGGGTCAGCTTATCTTACGTCATTGTGATCAGGAGGATAATAAAACAAAGTAACATTCCTTTGTACAAAATATATTCACTTTAAGAAAAGTGCAATTCTAGACAATAACTTTGGTAACAAGAGTAGGGAAGGGAAGGGAAGGGGGGGAATGAAGGGATGAAGAAGGGACTAGTCTGCGGCCTGCACCGGTGACTGGTCATCCTGGTACACTCTGCACACTGTACCAGTGACTGTGGCTCTCCCGGTACAGTCTTCAGCTTGCGCCAGTATCTGTGGCTATTCAGATTCAGCCTGCTCATGTGTGCCAGTCTTACTGGTAAGACTGGAACCCACACCAGTAACGGGTTATCCAGAGAGCCCTTGTGGCCTGTACTAGAGGCTTGGCTACCTTACTAACTTTACCAGCAACTGTAGCTTTTCTAATATGATGCGACTCTCTTTATAAGTGTGCAGTCTTGTACAGCTTAACGAATATAATTTTACTTTTAACTTTTACTACGCACATCCCAAATACTGTCCTGGTACAGACTGCACATTTCACTTCTATACAGTGTCCTGTTATCACTGTAGTGGCAGCAACTTGCATCACTGAACACGGTACAGTCTGCAGACTCCACCAATGATAGTCTTGGTACAGTCTGGAGACTCCACTAGCCCTTGTGGTTTAGCGCTTCTTTTTGATAATAATAATAATAATAATAATAATAATGGAGACTCCACCAATGATAGTCTTGGTACAGTCTGGAGACTCCACCAATGATAGTCTTGGTACAGTCTGGAGACTCCACTAGCCCTTGTGGTTTAGCGCTTCTTTTTGATAATAATAATAATAATAATGGAGACTCCACCAATGATAGTCTTGGTACAGTCTGGAGACTCCACCAATGATAGTCTTGGTACAGTCTGGAGACTCCACCAATGATAGTCTTGGTACAGTCTGGAGACTCCACCAATGATAGTCTTGGTACAGTCTGGAGACTCCACCAATGATAGTCTTGGTACAGTCTGGAGACTCCACCAATGATAGTCTTGGTACAGTCTGGAGACTCCACCAATGATAGTCTTGGTACGGTCTGCAGACTCCACCACCGAGAAGTTTTGGTACGGTCTGCAGACTCCACCACCGAGAAGTTTTGGTACAGTCTGTGGTTAAGATTTGCAACAGTGACTGTGATCAACTTGGACTGTTTGTTGACTGTCAGTACGGTCTTGGGCCTGTTCCAGTAACTTTGCTACACTTGTCAGCTCCAAACAAACAGAACAAAAACTGTACATACAGTTATTAATAATTGGTGAAGGATAACACTTTAGACCGCCACAGCTGGCAGCTATGGTGGTATTAACATTGTTTTCAAATGGTCTTGGGTTTTGATATTCGTTCAGGCCGTTCAGCTGGTGCGTAAAATGACTCGTCAACCGGAGACCGCAGCTGGGTTTAACTTTTATATTGAGTTTTGGTAATTTTTCATATTTTGAAGAACCCAAAAAATGGGGAGGAAGGGGAGGGTAAAAGGAATGTTATAAAACAATATAAAGACCAAATCTAGTTGAGGAAGAATAAAAAAACATACTTTCTCATTATCGTTTTGAAACTCTGAGGATCATCACACTTCAAAAAACGAATGATAATAAAAATTATTACCATTTTTATTATCAATGGGTTTTGTCATATTTAAGTCATTACAGAAAATAAAAGAACTGTCCATAAATGATTTTTAAGTTACGTTGATTAAAGTCAAGATTAACCAAGAAGAACAGTGTTCCAGATTGCTTACTATGGTTATAACTGAATAAGTGAACATACACAGTATCACAAATCTATCACAACTCAAATACATGTCAATATCAGAATATCATAAAAGATGTGTGTAAACTTCAGATACCAGAACCGAAAGCCTGCAACTGTAAGGAATTTTGACGTTCGTCAGCGTTTAAAGGCAATTCCATCTTCATCAGTCTATCAAAATACTATTCTCTATGTATAAAACAGGGCAAAATGCTGAGAAACGAGTGTTAGGGTTGTTGAGCACATGTATAGTTTAACAAAGATATGAAGGGAATGGGGGATGGGAAACAGTCTGTACTAAGATACTTGCCAGCCACTGTCTCGCCACAGTCCTGAACATGTTACCAATAGTTGAAATATTTGGGTCTACCTTATTACTGCGCAAATTGTTTTGTTTTTTCCAGTCTGACTTGTATCTTAGCACTGGACGTCACTACATACATTCTCAATAAATATGAACAGAAGATGAGGCATGCAAAGTGGACTCCAGGGAAGGCTGCGAGTCTTTCCCTTGGGTAATCTTCCCTTGAGAGGCTTTTCCCTTTGAAAGCCTTTTCCTTGGGGAACTTTTTCCCTGGAGAGGCTTCCCTGGGAACCTTGTCCCTGGAGAGCCACATGCACGCTGATAACGTCACACACAAACTGTGTTAAAGAATAATTAGCGTATACTTGAGGATGACAAGTTCAGATAATCTCGCATGATATTTATAACTGTTGTCGCGAATATCCTTTTAAGAGTTGTACCATGGTTGAGTTTGTTCACAGTGCACTGGGGTGAACAAATGTAATCATTGCTCAATGCTTTCGCCTGGTTGGGAACCGTCCCAGAAAACAAAAAAAAAAATGGGGATCAAATGTATGACTAACAACGCTCTGTAAGGAACCGAACATATTGATGCATTTAAATACAATTTTTCATACCGTGCCTAAACTCCTGATTTGGTCTTTTTTTTCCACATACAGCAGAATAAAAGGTTTCCCAAAAGATGTGGACCCATCTAGACTGCGTCATCTACTCTATCAACGGACCATGATTCCTTCTCTAAAAAAAAAAAGAATCCCATGAAACACTTTCCCGGTGCATTAACTTTCTATAATGTCATTGAATAATGTGTGCACTAAGTAAACAAGTCCGTCAAGTGATTAAACTAACGCAAACCGGATCATGCGACAGGCATATTCTGGGTACGGGTTGGAGGGGGTGGGTGGGGAAGGGTGCAGACGCGTTTGAAACAGCATTGGAAACCCATCGGAGTCGTGCCAAGCTATTGTTGTGTGTAACGTAACGCTGGTCGCTGCTCACTTGTCGGAATGCACAGCTTTGAGATTCTGCTGCCGGAAACTCGCTTAACACTATCGTTTTGGTAAGTAATAATGGAGGACAAATGATACGTGAGTGTACATTAACATGAATTAACAAATTTGCTTGTGTCGGTGCATCGGCTCAGAGCCTCAGCCGCTGTTTCACACGCCAGACACCCAAACTGGCCGTAGGTAACATCAAGAGACGTACACCAGTGAACCATGACAGAATACAAAAAAAAATCGAAGGATATTACGAGATTGTTGGTGTAATGCTAAAACTAAATAGAATGAAACATAATTATGGAAACAGTTGTGATAATTATTATAATCATTTAATGTCCTTGATGATAACATTTAAACTTTGTACATACAGTAAATAAACAACAAGAATAGGAGAAAACAGTCATAACGATACCGTCCAAACGCCACCAATCACTATTCCATAACATTAGATAAGTCAAAAGAAATAATAAACTCCATCTTCCGGTATCTTTAAAAAGACTATCATTTTTATGGAATAATGTCTTCTCTCATTCACTCACATATTTGTATGCTGCTGTCACAAGTATCACATGTCTTGTATGTCAACATAAGCCTCGAGATGTCAGTCACTTGTCCTCCGCCCATCAGCCTGCAAGTCTCCAAAGCGAAGAGTCTCCAAGCACGACTTTGCGTGTCTTGCAAAATGAAAGCAAAGACGAATCTCTACCGACATTTTGCTGACAGACCTTCAGTTTTAAGTATTTGCATCCTGCTGCCAGGGACATTCCGCCCATTTTCGCAGACAAAATTTAGGAGTAGGATTTTATTAATTGTAGAGCGATGGGCGAAGACCAAATGTAGTTAATCTTGCAAAGCTAAGTTGAAACACAGTGTAAATTCGTGTGAGCTGCGACTAGGTGTGTATAGAAAAATGGGAAACCAGATCAGGTTGGTGAAAGCAAATGTGCACATTATATACAGTCAACCTGTCCGGTGCTACTTGATCGTGTATGGTCTTGAGTTTGGGTTACGGAACTACTCTGGTTACGTATGCGAGAACATAAACAAGCGGTTGCCCAAGCATGTTTCTGTTCGAGTGACGAGGTTATATACACTTGAGCCGTCACACATAGTAGGCCAGCGTTACCCTTCTCCAGCTCGTGGCGGACACACACACACACACACACATGTATTCCTTGCGAGCACTTCTGGTGTGATTATTATTGTTTTTGTTCCTCCACTTTGTTCTGCCTCTTCACTTTGACTAGTGCAGCTTTTCAGTTCACGAGACTGTAATATGATCAACCCTACAGGCTCGTAGGGACGAAAAACTAAGTTAACCACTAAAAGGTAGTCTTTATGGCACACCAAGATAGGAAAGTTTTCCGTCACTGTACATACAACTGAGGGCGTCCATTTCTGTTGTGAACACTCAAAGAAGGGAGTCCGTAACCTCACACAATAACCTTAAGATTATATTTACAAATAATATTAATCATGCTTCTTTGAGGATTTCACCGCTCATTACAATAATGCTTTACATATCACATAACAGAGCGTTAAAAAATTATTAATAGGTTCTTTTGCTTCTGTTAGCGAGAATTTAACGTGGTAGCAACGCCCTTGTCCTCTGTAGGACTCTCTTGTTCTACCTTTATAAAATGTTGATTACTGATCAGTTTTAACTTGGTATTTTAGTTGCTGGGGTTTATTTGTAGTCTGGGCAGGTGAGCGACCTGGGGAGGGGGCTACTAGCGGGGGGTGGGAACTCTACTCATCGCTGGCGTCCATCGCTACCGTCGCTATCTGACTTGCTCTCGTCAGGACAACACATCATTATCACTCCACCATTGTCATCTGTAACACCGTCATACGGGCACCAGTAAAGTGTCTCGATCCAGCTGGACTAGACACTTTGCAGACGTGTTTTATCGTCTCTGGTCTGCTTTAGCCATCACTGAAAACAGTGTTTGTTAACAGTGCAGATACAGCTCCAGGAGTCATGGCCGACTGGTGGACGCGGCTTTCATTACTGCTGATCAGAATGGGGGCCTCCACTGTGGATGTGATTGCCCTGCCGCTCCCCGAAACATCTCCGACGCTTGAGAGTGTAAGGTGTGCTGGAGCGTTGCCTGCGCCCGTCGCTGTTGTAGATGCATGGGTGGCAACTGTGCCATTGCTGAAGGCAGTTGAGACATGTGAGGTGGCGGCATTTGTGGCATTTGGAATGGAAACTGCGGTGCCTGAGATGACGTATGGGGCATTTGTGATGGTTGTAGCTGCGACGGTACATGCGGTTGCTGCTGCGATGGAGGCTGTGATGGTCATGTCCGCCGCCGTTTCCGCCCCCTCCCGGCCGCGTCTCATCGGTCCTCCATGGTGAGAGAGTCGGGACTACCGTAGCCACTTGAGGCATCGTCAGCCACCGCCTGGTTAGAGGAGCTGGGTTGCTGGGGCGCAGTGGGGGCTTTGAGTATACCCTCGGCGCCTCCTAGTTGGTGTTCCGCTAGGGCCCCACGGTCCGCCAGGGGCGTTGGTAGCAGCATCCCCGATGTGCCCGGGCCGTTTCCCGCCGCCCCACCGAGACTCATGCCGTTCATGCCTAATTGGTGTTGCTGAGTGGGTTGCTGGGGGAGGGTTGTGCCATGGGTAGAGGCGTTGCCACGTTGAGCTAAGCCAGATTCCTCCGGGGGCTGCTGGCAAAGATAAGAAACACAAGGTTAAGGAGCTATAAGAATACTGTACAAGCACATTGTGTAAGATGTATACTTGCATATTCATATGTAGATGAATCACGAAGTATACGTGATTTATGCCACAAGATGGAAGAAGAAAATATTAGGTGTAATTACAATTATATTATTATTATTATTATTATTATTATTATTATAATTAGTAGCAGTAGTAGCATTAATAGTATTAAGGGAGATTTTTTTAGGTAAATATTTGTTGGCACATGAATTGTAAGTTACATTTAGGCAAGCATTTAGTTACGTTAATAATGAACAATAAAAGGAAGGGCTTTACGAATGAGAGGTTAATTAAAGAGGGTTTATGTGAAGTGCAGGTGAGGGAAGGTGTTCATAACTGTTAAGGAGAATTATGGCAGGAAGAAGATTTAAGTTAAGGAAGAAACTACTGACTTCATTTCAGTGGTTAAAAACAGTTTTTGAAGTGAAGAACATTAAATGTAAATGATATTCAACTTAAAAAAAAATCATAAATCATGCCAGATGTACTATAATGAAAGCAAGAATGAGTCATACCCAGTCGGAATGATCAAGTCCCCAGCAGTGAAGTTAATACTGACCGTGAGTGTGTGTTTGTTATGCGAGAGCCAGTGAGTACACTAACACTGTATGGGTGAGTGTGTGTGTGTGTGTGTGTGTGTGTGTGTGTTTGAGAGAGAGGAGAAATAAGAATTAAAAGGCTCTGAACAAGACTTTACAAATAAATATTGCATAATCACACAATTTGTCCCCATCAATTTCTCGTGTGTTACAGTGGTACATGATGCCAGCTAGTTACAGTACAGGCACATGTTAAGCTGATTACAGTGGTACATGATGACAACGTGGTACATTGGTACATGATGTCCAACTTCTTACACTGGTACATGATGTCCAACTTAGGTACAGATTAACTTAAACGATAAAATAATACAGAAGATTTACAATACTCAAGCTTAATATTACTCATATTTTGTGCTACTGACGCGGAGGCGTTAAACCCGTAGGGGTCATTAGGAATGGTACGATACCCAAATTTTTGCCGATACCGATAATCATTTTTTTTTTTTTTGCAGATACCAATACGGATACTTTTTCACTATCTCTTTTATTTTTGAAAATCATGATAACTATGTTCAATATATATATATATAATATATATATAATATATATATATATATATATATATATATATATATATATATATATATATATATATATATATATATATATATTATTTTAGAAAGTAAAAAATCTCAAACTATAGCTGAGGAACATCAACATCACATTTTCAAAAGTAACTCTGATGTTTATCACATACTAAAGAATCTTTCACTTTCAGTTGAAGATGACACTGAAGTAATATTTGCTGGCTAGGTTTGCCACAGATGGCACCACTCTAGTGGATTTCCTCCTTCAGGCAATAACACAATTGCCATATATTTTTTCTATTACCGCTTTTGTTTGTGTAACGCGAATACTAGCTCGTTGCATTTTATTATTATTATTTATTGCTGCTTTCTGTGATTCTGAAAAGGATTCCAAGGCAGATGTCGGTGACGTGATGTTGTGAAGGCTACCAACATTTTCTTCGGAACACTTACCAGGATAAAGAACAAAAAGGCACAATACCGTGACTAAAACAATACACAACCTACGTATAGGAGAGAGAAGCTTAAGACGATGTTTCAGTCCGACTTGGACCATTTACGGTCCAAGTGGACGGAAACGTCGTCAGCAATACATTGCAATGACTATTTTTTTTTTTACTGATATGATAGGCATATATTGAATGAGCTTGCGTTTAGGCACTTCATTCTGTTCTTGAAAAGCCTCTAGTGAAAGCTGGAGGAGAGGGAAGTGGCTCACTATTTACCTACAGTTATCATTGGTGTCTTTAATCAGTCTCTGCTGCAGGATACAAGTATGAGTGTGGAGAACATACAGGTGTTGTAGCCTGTTCCTTCAATCAATCTGACAACATTGTTATCAATATCATATATGAAACGAATTATAGAAGTTTGTTGAGTGTGGGTTACCCACACAATGGTGAGGCAGTGTGTTAATTTTGATAGTTTTGAGCTCATGTGCAATACTAATTTCTTTAAGTATCAGCTGGTATCGGCAACTTTCTCGCCGATACCACAAACGTAGCCGATACTCACTGATGCTTAGGCACTAATCTAGGAATCAAGTATCTCTTGGATCAAGAGCTAGTAACCAACACCTAGGCAACTTGCAGGTATTGCTCTCTCGTTGCTAAACCTAAAACTAGACTAGTGGGACATTAACATAGAAATGTTTGATACGAGGATAAGGAGAGGATGATAAAACATGAGCTTAGAAGAGCAATGGGAAAGATCTCTAGGAATGAGGAGGGAAAGTGAAATAGAGGTGGGAAGGAAAACAAGGTGATGACGATGGGGCAAAGGGAGGAACTAGTGACTGTATGGAAAGAGGAAGAATAACAGCGAAGGAAGGGAAGGAATACAAGTGAAGGAAGGGAAGGAATACCAGTGAAAGAAAGGAATACCAGTGAAAGAAGGGAAGGAATACCAGTGAAAGAAAGGAATACCAGTGAAAGAAGGGAAGGAATACCAGTGAAGGAAGGGAAGGAATACCACTGAAGGAAGGGAAGGAATACCAGTGAAAGAAAGGAATACCAGTGAAAGAAGGGAAGGAATACCACTGAAGGAAGGGAAGGAATACCAGTGAAAGAAAAGAATACCAGTGAAAGAAGGGAAGGAATACCAGTGAAGGAAGGGAAGGAATACCAGTGAAAGAAAGGAATACCAGTGAAGGAAGGAAAGGAATACCAGTGAAGGAAGGGAAGGAATACCAGTGAAGGAAGGGAAGGTATACCAGTGAAGGAAGGGAAGGAATACCAGTGAAGGAAAGGAAGGTATAACAGTGAAGGAAGGGAAAGAATAACAGTGAGGGGAAGAATAACAGTGAGGGGACTGGATTAGATACACACGAGGGGAAAAAAATCCGATTATGTCCAGAAGCAAAAAGTACAGCTGAAGGTGATGATTCACGTGAGTCACACTAGTGGTGTGGGTATGTGAGTCACACTAGTGGTGTGGGTGAGTCACACTAGTGGTGTGGGTGAGTCACACTAGTGGTGTGGGTATGTGAGTCACACTAGTGGTGTGGGTATGTGAGTCACACTAGTGGTGTGGGTATGTGAGTCACACTAGTGGTGTGGGTATGTGAGTCACACTAGTGGTGTGGGTATGTGAGTCACACTAGTGGTGTGGGTATGTGAGTCACACTAGTGGTGTGGGTATGTGAGTCACACTAGTGGTGTGGGTGAGTCACACTAGTGGTGTGGGTATGTGAGTCACACTAGTGGTGTGGGTATGTGAGTCACACTAGTGGTGTGGGTATGTGAGAGTCACACTAGTGGTGTGGGTATGTGAGTCACACTAGTGGTGTGGGTATGAGTCACACTAGTGGTGTGGGTATGTGAGTCACACTAGTGGTGTGGGTATGTGAGAGTCACACTAGTGGTGTGGGTATGTGAGTCACACTAGTGGTGTGGGTATGTGAGTCACACTAGTGGTGTGGGTATGTGAGTCACACTAGTGGTGTGGGTATGTGAGTCACACTAGTGGTGTGGGTATGTGAGTCACACTAGTGGTGTGGGTATGTGAGTCACACTAGTGGTGTGGGTATGTGAGTCACACTAGTGGTGTGGGTATGTGAGAGTCACACTTGTGGTGTGGGTATGTGAGTCACACTAGTGGGGAGGGTATACGAGAGTCACACTAGTGGTGAGGGTATGTGAGAGTCACACTAGTGGTGTGGGTATGTGAGTCACACTAGTGGTGTGGGTGAGTCACACTAGTGGTAAGGGTATGTGAGAGTCACACTTGTGGTGTGGGTATGTGAGAGTCACACTAGTGGTGAGGGTATGTGAGAGTCACACTAGTGGTGAGGGTATGTGAGAGTCACACTAGTGGTGAGGGTATATGAGAGTCACACTTGTGGTGTGGGTATGTGAGTCACACTAGTGGTGAGGGTATGTGAGAGTCACACTTGTGGTGTGGGTATGTGAGAGTCACACTAGTGGTGAGGGTATATGAGAGTCACACTAGTGGTGGGGTATGTGAGATCACACTAGTGGTGAGGGTATGTGAGTCACACTAGTGGTGAGGGTATGTGAGTCACACTAGTGGTGAGGGTATGTGAGTCACACTAGTGGTGGGGTATGTGTCACACTAGTGGTGAGGGTATGTGAGTCACACTAGTGGTGAGGGTATGTGAGTCACACTAGTGGTGAGGGTATGTGAGTCACACTAGTGGTGGGGGTATGTGTGTCACACTAGTGGTGGGGGTATGTGTGTCACACTAGTGGTGGGGGTATGTGTCACACTAGTGTGGGGGTATGTTGTCACACTAGTGGTGGGGGTGTGTGTCACACTAGTGGTGGGGGTATGTGTGTCACACTAGTGTGGGGGTATGTGTGTCACACTAGTGGTGAGGGTATGTGTGTCACACTAGTGGTGGGGGTATGTGTGTCACACTAGTGGTGGGGGTATGTGTGTCACACTAGTGGTGCGGGTATGTGTGTCACACTAGTGGTGGGGGTATGTGTGTCACACTAGTGGTGCGGGTATGTGTGTCACACTAGTGGTGGGGGTATGTTGTCACACTAGTGGTGCGGGTATGTGTGTCACACTAGTGGTGCGGGTATGTGTGTCACACTAGTGGTGCGGGTGTGGTCACACTATGACGGGTTAAATAGTTCACACTAGTGGTTGGGTATGTGATTCACACTAGTGGAGGGGTATGTGACACAACTACTGTGACGGGTATGTTACCAACACTAGTGACGGGTATTGTACACACTAGTCGCACGTGAGCACGATATCACATAAAACCAATATCTGAAAGGTTATCAATCCATGAATCCCTGCCAATGGCAGGGTTAACACAACCCTCCACTGACAGGGTTAACACAA